GGGCACCTGGTAATAAACAAGTGCTAAAACTCAAGCTTTGCTCCAGATGGGCTCCAGTGTTAGTAATATGAGCATCTTAAGTCTCAGCTTAAACCGGAGTGCAGTGTTAATGTTGTAAGGACCTAATTTTTTTAGTGATATGAGCACCTGGTCAGATGTTAAAATCATTGATATACTTTGTAAGAATGATCAGTACAATATGATATAATAACAAATCACAAGATAGTTGTGAAATGAGTTATGTCCTCAATTTGATAAGTAGTTGTGCAGAACATAACAATAAATCTTGCATTAGCCTCGTTCTTATAGAACTGGTTCTAGAAAAATATACAGGTGTATTTTTGTTATCTTAACCATCAATGGAGATGTTTATGTATAAAGGTTAAAAGGATGATACTCATACAAACAAATCTTTACTTAGTATCAAATTCCAGAGTAGGAGAGCATCAATTGTAAGGACCTAAAAAATACCTATAACAATATGAAGACAAAGAGGGCAGGTCTGACAAACTGGTTTAACTACTTTAACCAGTCTACTTATCCCATTTAACAAGTCAAATGATGCAACAATAAAAAGTTTTCATCAAACAGATGTTCTTTTATATGATTTTTATATACAGTAATTAAATCTTGCACTAGACCATTTAAACTAAGTACTGTGCCCAGGATTATATTTCTGTACCTGGTATGTGACAATTAATGATGATGCAATTCAAAAGAAAAGGCCCACTGGGACTAAATACTTCGTAGAGTTCAATATATTGTTGTCTTTGATTACAGGGTGGTTAAGAATAATAAGACTGGACCAATATATGCCAGGCCCAGAAAAATTCAGGACTTGTATGGAAAAGGTCACAAATGTTGAAATGTTGTTATGAGCTGTTTTATTTTGATAACAAATTAAAGCATATCAAGTTCTACACAAATGTGTGGAAAAGGAAAGAAATCTGAACAAGATTGAAATACTGAAAAGAACAATAGATAAAAACTTCATGAGCTATTGTTGAATCAAAATGCTGTTAATGAGAACACAATCTCATGTTGTGCTTTTTAAGTCTACAAAGTTAAAAATGTAGAAAAAAAACAAAAGGCAATAACTCCAAGGCCAAAAATGGAAAATCAGAATCCATTGAGCATTACACAATTTTAAGTTATGCTTAATGGCTACCAAGGTTCAGCAAACTGGTAATAAAACTGAGGGAGGTGATCTCCATACAAAAAAAAAAAAAAAAAAATGCTTAAGGAAAAACCCTTAAAGGGCAATAACTCCTTTAAGAAATTACTGAATAAGTCTGCTGTACAACTTCATGTCACAGTAATTAAGCCTACCAAGTTTAAAAGGAATAGATTGAAAACTGAGAGAGGGGATCTCTGGACAATGTTAATTGATATTATAAAATCAAGAGGCAGTAACTCTTTTCAAATGAAATTGTTGTTCAGAAAAATGCTATTTCATGTCATGGTGATTAAGTCAACAAAATTTGAATAAATAATTGAATATTACTTGCATTTGTACACAATGCCCTTATTTTGCAATAAAATACAGGTTTACAGGAAAGACCTGTAATATACTTAAAATCCTTTTGCTTCTTGTGTCACGGTTAGAACAGCACAGACACAGTGCTACACACATTGTGACGGGAGAAAGATAGGCATCACTGCCCACAGTGACGCAGCAGATTTAGCAGTGAGGGCGCAACAACAATGTGCAGCATGATGAGTCGACCAGACCCTGGTTAGGCCCAACCACCCAAACTGTCTCAAAATGGTTCTTTCTTTTTCTACACAATGCTCAAATTTGCCAATAAAAGGGGCATAACTCTGTCAAAAATAACTGCAAAATTCAGTAATGCAACATGTATGAGCTATTTTGGCTGCGGATATTTGTAGCAAATTTCAAAGAACAGAAGGACAGGAAATTTTATACCATAGTAAAACTTGTAACTCACAACCTGATTTAAATGACTATGTTAACTTCATCAGAGAAATTGCCAGTATGAAGCATTTTTGGGTTGAGGTAAAGAATGTATTAGAAGGTAATGAATCAACAGGACTTTTTGGATTAACTACAATCTTGAGTACACAAATGCTGGTCAAGAAGGCCACGGGCCTCAATAGTCACTTGAGTCCCATAATATCATAGAAATAATTGTGTTAACACATTGTATATATTATGCTGATGTAAAATGAGCATAACATCAACCGACATCTGATGTTAAGGACTATAATCAAGTTTAAATTTTAAAAAAATTTGCTCAGAAACAGAGTTTTCCTACATAACTACAGTATGTCGTCCCCACGTGAGACTCTGGAGTCATCTTATACATAATTCTTCTAAAACACTGCAAGACCCTTCCATCTTAAACAGCATTTGATTCTACCATAACTGAGTTAAAAGGGGTTTTTTATTTTGAATTTGCTCCTATCTTACTCCTATTGGCCCTGCCCCTCTGCCAGGGTTAAAATGTCCATACCATCAAGCTATCGTCTTACAATGATTATAAGAATTCTAACCATGAATGAATCATAATGCTGTCATCCAACAAAGTCTGAATTAGTTGCTTTTGTTCCTGGCTTGCCTATGCGAGGGGGCAAACTCCAAAAAAGACAAATTATAAGGAATTGGTTTACTTCATTTGAGTGTAAAACATGGTGGAATTAGACGTCTCATTGACAAGTATTACATACACATATTGTCACTGACAAACACCATGGAAATCGTGCAAGTTGTTCCAGGTCATCAAAATTTTGGTAATGTACCAGAAAACCCTTCCAAATTTGGAAGTATATGATTCTAACATACTTGTGTCTGAAGGAAAAGATTTTTGAAGTTTCAGACAGCTAGTTTGACAGACCTCCACCCTGAGAGTTAGTCAAAGTCAAAAAGTGCAGATCATGAAACTGCCATTCCATGCAAACAAAATTTGAATCATTTGCATGAGAATTTGACAAAATGTACCCAAGTGTTATTTTCCGGTATAAATTATTACTAACTCCACCCTATCTCCACTAAACATAATGATTGTAGGTTGTAGAATTCACAACTTTGGTTAAAGACACTTCCCTCCAATGCACCAAAAGACTTGAAGCCTGCAAATCTGCAAATGTCATCAAATTTGGTTCTAGAGAAGGCAGCATCATCAATTCTTTTGGATACAAATTCAACAGATACACACAAGGTCGTGAAAAATAGGTGACTTGAGACTTTGTAGTCTTCTGCCATCCTGCAAATTTGTAGTACGACTGGTCAGAGCCATCACATCTGGTTCTGTATCCTCCTACAGCCATCATGTCTGTTCAAATTCAGTACCAGCAATCCAAAGGGCAATTACTCTTGAACATCAACAACATACACCAAAGCTGCACAAATAATTTTCAATGAAAAGTCAGATACACTATCCAGCCCACTTTGTGGGAAACCTAAAAACAATTAAAAATTTTTATATTAGTTTGTAAAGGAGCTGATGGCTCAATTACTACCAATTAAATATCTCAAGAATTCAAGGTTCAACTTCAATGTCCCCAAAAGTTTTGGTGACTGAAATACTATCTTCTATAGTCACAGTAGAACGGGTACTTGGACTAAGGGGAATAACTCCATTTGATTAGCGATGAATCATACAGAAACAGGCATGACCATAATGGTGGACGAAAAGTTAAAATTCATATTACAATAGACTCTCCGGGATGAATGCAAGGATTTGGTAAACAAAATTTGAAATCTAATGTGGCTGTTGGTGGCAGTCACCTTGAATATCCATTGAAGCTTAAAATGGAATACCTATAAACACTTTAAATGAGGTTTCAGGAATATTTCATCAGTACATGATAAATATATATGTAGCTATTGACTAATGTTTCTTCAGTAGTTAAAGATAAGTACAGATGTAGCTGTGAATAAGTTTCTGGAGTACTCCTCCTGTAGTTATAAATAGCAGTAGTTGCTGATGTTTCAGGAATATCCCTTTAGAAGTTATAAATAGCAGTAGTCCTAAATGTTTCAGGATATCCCTTCTGAAGTATATGCAGTACAAACACTCATTTCTGTCAGACATTGGTAAGAAGTTACATTTGAAAAGCTATCCAACAGATGGGACTAGAAATATTACCCAGTGATACCACTGTCAATGTCCTCCTTTGTATATTGAGGTCAGAAGTATGAAATGTGCTGATGGCAAAGTCAGTTCCTAATACCCTAGAAATACCGGTACCCCTGATATGTCATTCAGAACTAGTGTGTAACACACTATGACAAAGTAACCAATGCTGATTAACTCATGAAAAAATAGCTCCGCAAAGGCGGGCAATATCCCACAGCCTTATCATAAAGTTGGAAATGTATGGTTGGAGTAAGTGGAAAGTTATCTCTAGAATGAGATCACCGGAGATCACCATTTTCACTGAGCATTTTGGTTCTACGGACGCTAATAAGCCTGTAGATTTTTGTTGGCATTTGCTTTCCGCTCATTATGTCACGACATCACTGCAAATCTCCATTTTCATTGGAGATGTTGGGTCTATTGACCAACGGAAGTTTCAGTTCTTGTTCTCATCAGACATTCTTGAGATAATGGGTGGAATGCAAATTCAAGATGGCGGCCGTAACCGCCATATTCAATATTGGGCAACGACGAAAAACAATAGGGTTGTATAGGTCAATAGGCCCAACATCTTCAGTGAAAATGGTGACCACCGGTGTTGTCATTCTTGAAATAATGAGCCGAATGCAAATTCAAGATGGCGCCCGTAACCGCCATATTGGATATCACGCTGTGACGAAAAACAATAGGGTTGTGTCCATTGGCCCAACATCCCCAGTGAAAATGGTGATGATTGGTGATGTAGTTTTGGAGATAATAAGCGGCATGCAATTGTGGACGGACGGACGCCGTGCGTGATCACAATACCCCACACCCTTTCGGGCTGTGGGGTAAAAAACCCTAGTTCAACCAACCCTATCTCTTGGTGGTCTTTTTTCTTAACAAAAGAAACAATTTCCATTTTTTTCTCAAAACTGCACTTTTATTCACATGTCTGCTGGCAGTTTCTGTTTTCTGTTGTTTACTTGTTTTTTGACCTGAAGTATTCATTCATCACATCCAGAGCCTGGGATTCTTTTCCGTAATCCTGAAATCGCAAATAAGAAATACTAATGAATATATCACAATCTAGTTCACCAGACATTTTTTGTAGTGTTCACTTCTATTTTTCATTTATAAATATAGCTTGAATTTTTCTGTGAAATAACACTAGACTTTTATTGAATTAATAGCATCTTATATAACTGAACTTCAAACAATCACAAAGACTGTCTGTACAGCTACTTTAATATACATGGTATGTATAGCTGCTTAAATAGACACCGTCTGTACAGCTGCTTAAATAGACACCGTCTGTACAGCTACTTTAACAAGCACTGTCTGTATAGCTACTTTAATATACATAGTCTGTACAGCTGCTTAAATAGACACTGTCTGTACAGCTACTTTAACAAGCACTGTCTGTATAGCTACTTTAACAAGCACTGTCTGTATAGCTACTTTAATATACATAGTCTGTACAGCTGCTTAAATAGACACTGTCTGTACAGCTACTTTAACAAGCACTGTCTGTATAGCTACTTTAATATACATAGTCTGTACAGCTGCTTAAATAGACACTGTCTGTACAGCTACTTTAACAAGCACTGTCTGTATAGCTACTTTAATATACATAGTCTGTAAAGCTGCTTAAATAGACACTGTCTGTACAGCTACTTCAACAAGCACTGTCTGTATAGCTACTTTAATATACATAGTCTGTAAAGCTGCTTAAATAGACACTGTCTGTACAGCTACTTTAACAAGCACTGTCTGTATAGCTACTTTAATATACATAGTCTGTAAAGCTGCTTAAATAGACACTGTCTGTACAGCTACTTTAACAAGCACTGTCTGTATAGCTACTTTAATATACATAGTCTGTAAAGCTGCTTAAATAGACACTGTCTGTACAGCTACTTTAACAAGCACTGTCTGTATAGCTACTTTAATATACATAGTCTGTAAAGCTGCTTAAATAGACACTGTCTGTACAGCTACTTTAACAAGCACTGTCTGTATAGCTACTTTAATATACATAGTCTGTAAAGCTGCTTAAATAGACACTGTCTGTACAGCTACTTTAACAAGCACTGTCTGTATAGCTACTTTAATATACATAGTCTGTAAAGCTGCTTAAATAGACACTGTCTGTACAGCTACTTTAACAAGCACTGTCTGTATAGCTACTTTAATATACATAGTCTGTAAAGCTGCTTAAATAGACACTGTCTGTACAGCTACTTTAACAAGCACTGTCTGTATAGCTACTTTAATATACATAGTCTGTACAGCTGCTTAAATAGACACTGTCTGTACAGCTACTTTAACAAGCACTGTCTGTATAGCTACTTTAATATACATAGTCTGTAAAGCTGCTTAAAAAGACAAAGTCGAATAATTACCCTGACGACTACACAGCTGCAGCCTACCACCTTTCTGGCTTTTCCCTCCTTGTCAATCTTACAAAGTCCAGCCCATTCTCCCAGCTTTTTGTTATCATCAACCTGCCAACATTAGAAAATAAAATGTCCATTTAAAATAAGGAGAAACCTGGAAATGGGAATAACTGAACAATTTCACTTACAAGAAGTCAAATACAAGCATCAGAGTATAATACATGTATTGTTAATTTTGTATATTTTGTGTGTTGTTTTCAGGTAACCAACTGGTTATGCATGTCCTCATATCTCTCAGAAGAGGGAGCATTGGTTCTCATCATGTGACAACAATAAATGACTTTCTCACACCAGTAACATTACTGTGTAGTTAACATGATATGAAATCATAAATCTGCTGTTATGAATGAACAAACAAATAATTCACCATTGGTTATACATGATGGCCTTCTTCACAAGGATCCCTTTTAGAAATTTCAAGTCAGAAATATTTCAAAGTAAACTTCTCCAAAGGAAAAAAATATTCAATATCTGATAATTTCAAAGTATAAAATATGTTCCATCTTGGATGCCATCTTCAGGTAACCAACTGGTTATGCACTTCCTCATATCTCTCAGAAGAGGGAGCATTGGTTCTCATCACACAGAAGCATTTCATACATTTTAAGTTTTGATACTTGATAGATCTAATTCTTACTGTGCAAGACTTACTTGTAAATCTTCAATTAACAAAATGACAAAAAAAAAAGAAAAAAAAAAAAAAAAAAAAGCAAATTACATTGATATCTTTAGTTAGATTTGTCCATTTTTAGGATTTCTTTCTTTTCACATAGGAAAAACATGAGCACTTCACAAAACTGGAAAAAAATTGACTAATTCTACCTGTAAGAAGTTAAATGTGAGTGTGATCTACAATTCATGTTCTAAGGTAACCACCAAGTCATCTGGTCATATTGTGCTATGTTAACTATAGTAGGAAAATTAGACTATCTCTTCTACCAATATTGCAATCTTCAGGTAACCAACTGGTTATGCACATCCTCATGTCTCTCAGAAGAGGGAGCATTGGTTATCATCACATGAAAGCAATTATCTGGGTAATATTTTGAAAATCTATACTTCAAATATCAGCATAGATTTGATTATATCTTCTGATGCGAGATTTTCCTCAATCTCAAACTAAAGATCTTTTAATCTATATCCCAACCCTCCTTCTCAAAAATCAGTGATCATTATTTAATGTTAGACACAAGTTGACAACAAAGCGAAGCACAATAGCCTTTATCACAAAGCCCTGATGGGAACAAATGACTATGGTGGTCAAAAGAAATCTGCATGGAAAACCAATCTCAATCATTGTGAATGTGATTTGAATTGGTTAGGACGATGAAGACTTCTTTTATCCATAAAAACCTGCACATGAAAATAAAAAATAAACCAATTCTAGGATTCCACTTGCCCCTAAATACACAATATTGCAATCTTCAGGTAACCAACTGGTTATGCACATCCTCATGTCTCTCAGAAGAGGGAGCATTGGTTCTCATCACATGAAAGCAATTATATAGGCAACATATTAAAAATCTATTCTTCCAATATCAGCATAGTTTTGATTTTTATTTCTTCTGTTGTGAGATCTTCCTCAATCTCAAACTAAAGACATTTTAATCTATATTCCTCCCTCCCCTCCTCCTACTCAAAAATCAGTAATCATTATCTAATATTGCATGTAAGTCAACAACAAAACAAAGCACAAGCTTTTATTACAAAGCCCCGAGGGAAACAAATGACTTTGGTGGTGAAGAAAGTCTGCAAGGAAAACCAGTCACAATCATTGAGGATATTACGTGAATTGGTTCGGAGGACCAAGATTTTTTTAATCCATGAAAACCTACACATGAGAATAGAAAATAAAGCAATTTTGGAATTCATCTTGCCCCTGAATACACAATATTGCCATCTTCAGGTAACCAACTGGTTATGCATATCCTCATGTCTCTCAGAAGAGGGAGCATTGGTTATCATCATGTAACAGTATTGCATCTTTAAATTCATATCCACAAACATACCTAGAAAAGGATGGAAGGTAAGCAGTCTGGTTTTATACAATTTTATAAAGGATAAAGTGGGCCTTCAAGTTTGTCAGGTTAAAGTAAACAGCTGCTTCTGTGGCCTTATTTCACATTTTCCCCCTATAACTGCCAAACCTCTAATCTCTTTTTTGTTTGGATTGAGGGATGGGGATTCTGCTGAAAAGTTGCATCAAAACAAAGGTTTCTTTTCTAATTTCTTAAAGATCACACTTCCAATGCATTTTTGCTATTACATCAATTTCTTTATCGAAATTGATGTCAAATGAAGACATTTTTGCTTTCTTGTCAAGCATGAAATTGAAAGCATGAGGATACCTAACTTTCCTTCCTCACACTGCAAGAGTGAAAACTAGAGAACTGATGTAATATTGTCTTAATGTATCTAAATAAAATTGTTCATCCAAGCCCACACACCTTCATGATGTTGATTCCATGTTCAGCACAAAGGGCCTCCACAAGTTTGACGTACATAGCTTCATCGCAGTTGTTGGCCAAAATGCACATATGAGCCTGTCGTCTGGAAAAATGACAAAACGATAAAATGAGACTGCATCCACTTTCATTGTTGTCAGCTTAACCATCAAAACTTGGTTATTTTTTCATTTCAGAAATTAAAAGGAACTAGGTTCCTTCTTTTGGAAGATATTTGGTGAATGTTACTTCAAATGCTTGTTGGTTCTCCCACCAGTGTTTTGAAAAGGAATGCTCTGTGGGGTTGCCAAATACATCAATGAAATATTTATAAAGAGACATTTCTTTGCATTCCATTTTTGCTATATATAAAATGAGGAAATAGGCATTGAATTGAACAAAATTTCAACTCTACATTTATTGTGATTTTACCACAGAAATTTATGCCTTCACATGTCAAATGTGACAATTGTCATTTCTCAAATCCCAAGTGGAAAGAAACAAATGCCTACTTGTCCAAGGCTTTGGCACACTCATGAAGTCCCCTGGCAAGGCCGTCATGGATAAGTGCAGTTTTGAGAACCTCCTGCAGGGCAGTGTAGATGTCCATGGAACCTCCTGCAGTTGGTACATCATCTCTGTTAATCAAGAAATAGAAAACGTTTCACATTAATCCAACATCATTTAGAAAAAAAAAATAAATAAATAAAAAATTTGTATTTACAAATTTGATTATTTTGTGTTTGGTGACTTACTATTCTGGCAAATAGTTTTTTCAATTACAATAAGTTCTAAACTCTTAAAATTTGTTAGTGGATTAAAGCTGGCAATACTAATTAAAAAAATTACATGCCGAGATAAAAAAAGAAGTTTGTTTTAGAATGCTTCTGAAAACTCCATGCTAAGCTAACAATATCTTCATATCAATGTATCCAAGGAAGTGGAATGTCTGTATACCAGCATTCGAGGGTATCAAAGGCCTGCAACCGGTCAAACAAGTTATTTCAATGTCAGCGCAACTTGACTAATAGGTACATTGCATGACACCATTTACTCCAAGGGGAACATATATATGAAATTTGAGAGATCCATCTTCTGCTTTTCAAGAAATAGCGATAACAAACTTAATTGAAAAAATCCAAGATGGCTGTCTGTCTGCCATTTTGTCTTTTTATCAGTCCAAAAATTAAACAGGCACAACTAGAGTCCAAAGGGAACCTACATATGCAATTTTAAAGAACCATTCAGTACTTCTCAAGAAATAGCAAAAACAAACACTATTTACGGACAGATGATGGTCCAGACCGGTGGGCTAAAATCTCTTACATCAGAGGTCAGCAAATGTGGTAAAACCTTCAGCAAAGCCTCAGGTGTTGCAGCATTTTCTGACCCCTCTAGTTGAATATCCCTATCCTACACCCCAACACAAAGAATTGACATGGACCATGTTTATCAAATACTCTATAGTTGTTTCATAGCAACTAATGTCCAGTTTGATCAAATTCCCATGGCTTATTTTTTGTCTATGATTTGGTAACTTATGTATACAGGCATATAATAAACTTATTGTAACCACAGGTTCCTTCCTGCCTAATCTGTCAATACACTCCAACTACTAAAAAGTAACTATGTCAGACTAGAAAAAACAACACAATTTTTGATAACATGCAAGGTCACTTGACCATTTGAGATAACTTGCCAAGAGTGGTTTGAATCAACAGATAAATATTTTTTCTTTGATTTGGTATACATTTCACTGTATAAAAGGGCATAAACGTAAACCTCCTGTCAGGAAATGATCACTCTTAACACTACATTTAAGATTAATCATGTGCATGTTACATGCGTTTATTCAGATTTGGTATCCGATTTTACTATTTTGTATGTAAGCGTGTATTGGCAGACGAAGCTGGTACCAGTCTTGTAACATTAAAAACAATTTACACATTAATGTTCATAGCTCAATTTTAATTTTCTTCCGATTGTAACCTGCGAACCGTACCATCGAGTTTTTTTCACTAGGAACATGGACAACTTTGAAAAGATCGTGATCAGATATGGCTAAGGTTGAGACTCAGCAGCAGCTTTGAAAGCATTTGGTCAAGTATAATGGATAACCAGTATTATTATGCCAGCATAATTTACAGCAGAACAGATGTATACAATCAATTATAAACTACCAGTTCACAGAAAAGTCATTTGTAACACGTGAAAACTGTTCATTACCCTTCCGTATCCGACGCCATTTTTCAAATACGGACGTCCTTCTGAAATAAAATAAACAAAAAATCATATTCAGAGATGTGCGTTTAATTCATATCCAAATCAACAATCTTTAAAAGTGAAAAAGTAAGCTGATGTCAGCTGATTTCAAAGTTATGAGTGGTACATTTCTTACAATGATGTCTACCGGAAAACGTCTTGAGTTGAAAAGGAGGCTGTGAGGTTATTTCCGGTAGAAATGAATAGGAGGTCAAGTTACTCTCACCGATATATTTGTTTATGGATTTTACTGTGATTGTTATGGAATGAAACAGTTTTGTGTATTTACGTAAAGGTGTAAGTAAGTATGATTATATTCACTTGCAGCAATTTACTTGCATACTTCCAATTATGCATTCAAATCTGACAAGCACCGGATTTCAAGACGTCTGGTGAGATGCATGTTGATGTTATGAATATGTTCAGCATCACATAGTCTGTAATAATACTGATACGGGTAGTCCAAGGTGGGATATAAAGCATATTATTATTCTCAATATGTCAAGATTTTACAGGGCTATAGCACTACAAGTCTTTTGAAATGGTTGTTTTGTTTCATATTTGCTTCCGGAACAAGTGTCACGCATACCGGTTTCTTGAGTTTTACAATGATATGGTATTTTGAGAAAAGTTGTGATTGATGATAAATATGAAGATAAAAATCTTTTAAAAAAAAAAGAAAAGAAAATGAAACCAGAGGTCAGAGAGGAGATAGGACTTTAGCATCCAGGTGCTTTCTTGATTTGCTATATTTTAGTTTTATAGTTTATACAAATATTTCGTGTCATTATAAGTTTTTATTACTTCTTAATCTCATCCATTCATCATACAGGTATGGGATTGTCTCGACAATGGGTCTGTTTTACATATTATTTCGTCAAACTGTATTAAATGAACTATTGACCTACGTGACCTATAGTACAGTTGATATTGGTTACTGTAGCATGCATATGTCTCATTTCCAGAAAGAGAAATACTTTGAGTATTAAATTCCATTGGATAGTTTTTCTTTATGCTCAATTTTTACATGTCAAATATCCCATATTATGTCATGAAAAAGCCCATCAATTCATCCTCAGATGCCAGCCATTATTTTGTTCTGGTCTTAAGAGGGAGTAACTATTGACCACGGTTAGAAGGCCACACCTCCTTGCATTATTTACTGCTATGAAAATCAAAACATGCACATCTAATATTGGAAAATATTGATGTGGAATTTATCACTTTTGATGACTCATTTCTGATTTGCATTCGCCATTGAGTTAAATACTGTCATATGAAAAGCAAACCTTGATTAAATAATTTGTGTTTAAAAAAAAAAAAAGAGAAGAAAAAAAAAGTTTAGTAAGAAATATGGCTTATTTGAGAACACTAAGAGGCAAATATCAATATCCACCATTTTCTTAATGTGATTTTATTTTGATTTTCCTTTTTCATGGAAATGTCATTCCAATTCTTAGTAATAATTTCATATATGAGATTTATGGACTTCTAGTTCAATGCGAGGCTGTGACTACCGGTAATTCATCTCTGTGATTCATTGATGTCACCAGAAACAAAAGTGCAGTCACATTTCTGATACATGCAGTATGTCTGTCATTTCAGAGGAGCAAACTTGAGGTCGTATTTGTGGATATCTTTTAGAAATATATATAACTGGCTTTTCGCTGGTCACTTTATTAATAAATTTCAAAGTATGAACACATTTCTGTATATTTATGTATTTGTTTGGTTGAAATTCTTTGATGTAGCATTACCATCTTGATACGATTCTTAAGGGGTCTGAAACTGATATGCGAAGTATACTTAAACATTTTATTTTTCTTTATTATTAAAAATTTAATGGATAAATCATCCTTTTAAATTTTTTTAAAATTTTGATAAAAGAAGATCATTTATTGGTATATTCAGAGGTTCATTTGGCATCAGGAATAAAGAAGATTGAGGTTTTATTCTGCTTAGCATGTAATGTAATAGAGAAAGAAACAAGTTTGGGTTAATACAAAAAGAAACTTGTTGAAAATAAGATTTCAAAAATAATGGATGGGAGACTTGCACTTCATGATGCTTCACTTTTGCAATTATTCCAGGGGGAAATGGATCATTTAATATAGGGGATCTACTTAGTATTTTACATCACCAACTTTGATGAGTCTATAAACATGTCCTATTGAAGTCCTATTGCTTTAGTATTCAATTCAGTTTTGAGGGGCCCAGGGCTTCTTCATTCCCTCCAGGATTATACTTGAAAGCAAAATTTTGTGGCATGGATAGTCTTAATATTGCAGTACCAAAATGTTTAGTGTAGGTACATTGGTGACTATAGCTGACAAAGCATATCAGTGGTTGGTGTGGATCAGGAGGTTAGAGGTCATGGGTTTGAATCCTTGTTTGTTACATATGAAATTATGTTTCTTCTGTTACGATACTTGTTCAGTGTAGAACAGATCAGTGGTTGGTGTGTATCAGAAGGTCGGAGGTTGGCTTAGAATCCTTGTTTGTTATGCATTATGCTTCTTCTGTTACTGTACTTGTGGTGCTGACAATCAGTCTTTCAACTTTTTGGGTTTTGGATAAAAGTGAAATACATCTGTGTTGTAGAACTTGACCAGCTGATGGTAAGAGCATCTGTCTAAAATTCCAGTGTTTGAATCTTTTTCTGTTACATACCTATGTTATACCTTATTAATATTTTAAAAAAAAGGTGAAAACAACAGTGCAAACAAAAGTTGTTTTGGCAGGATTTCAAGACCATTTTCCCCATTATGAACAAATTACCAGTAACACATATACCACAACAAAACATGAAATATTAAGCATAATTATGCGTGGCAGCATTACTGTGTATAGTCACCAACAAAACCGGGAACAATATCTCCTTAACCCCTTGATAACACATGTAGTGAAAACATGAAGTAGGTTCAGTTATAAAGGACATTGATGTACTTTAGTGGTCATGCATAAACTGTTATAATGAGTTATTATGTATAGAGATACAAAACCTTATGAACTCACAGATGTCATAAAAAATTGCCCATGTACAGATACAGACAATACATTTTATGTCCCAAGGGTTAACTCCCCAATATATTGTGTGCTAGCAAAGAGGATTAATATTGAAAAAGCATGTGCATAGGGAATGCTTCATCTCGATTAAACATGACATACAGCAGCTCTAAAGTGTGTTGTGGAGAAAAGTTATTATTAGGATGTGGAACTTAATTGAAAAATGTATTGATTAAGTATTAAAGTGTTTAGTGATGCTGTGCAGACATCCGCTTATAGACCAGGGTAATTATAATGATACTTCATCACTCGTCATCACATTACAGATTTTCTTAAAAAATTAAAAAAGAAAAAAAGAGGTGGATGCAAATTAAAAATTTCTGTGTAAAAGCTACAGTTTTGTTTGTTAAAGCTACTGTTTTATTTGTCAATAATTAATGAGATAAGTTCTCTGTGTTGTCTATAAGGATTTTCTATATTCCAGATACACTACTGCAGAGAATTCTTGGCTGTCTAAGCAGCAACAAAGTACATCTTCAATTGGAATTTAAACTGTGTGGTAGCTGATAACTGAGAAGCTGTTTTGATGACGAACAATCTTCAGGTGTTTAGATGGGTGAAAGGACTAATAAAGGTAGGTGAAATTTATATTATTAACTTACTGATAAAGGTATATCAAATATTAAGATAAATGTTGATGCACAGATAGTGATAAAGGTAAATGAAATAATTAGATAAACATCATTGACTCACAAAGAAAGACCCAGACATTAATGAGGCACTGATAAAGATGTGTGAAATATAGTTTGATAAACACTTTTGATTGACCGGTAAAGACACAAATAAATAAGTGTGAAAGATAGTTAGATAAACATTAATGATTGACTGGTAAAGGTTCGTGAAGACATGGATAAAGATGTATGAAAGATAGTTTGATAAACATTAATGATTTACCGGTAAAGGTTAGTAAAGACACAAATAAATAAGTGTGATAAACATTAATGATTGACCGGTAAAGGTTAGTAAAGACACAAATAAATAAGTGTGAAAGATAGATAAATATTAATGATTGACCGGTAAAGGTTAGTAAAGACACAAATAAATAAGTGTGAAAGATAGTTAGATAAACATTAATGATTGACCGGTAAAGGTTAGTAAAGACACAAATAAAGAAGTATGAAAGATAGTTTGATAAACGTTAATGATTGACTGGTAAAGGTTCGTAAAGACATGGATAAAGATGTATTGAAGATAATTTGATAAACATTAATGAATGACTGGTAGATGTCTGTGAAATATCAAGATACACATTATATACTCACTTATAAAGATATGTTAAGTATAGAAAGCTATATATAGATTGATAAAGATTTCCAGGTTGCATGTCACTGATGAAGTAGAAGCCACTTTCCCTTCCAGAACACCAGGTCTTATTTTCTTTGAATTTTTTCAAGGATTTCCATTTCTTTCTTAAATAGATGTTTCCCCCTTATTTCTTTGGTTTTGAGTTTGGATTAAGATATTGATAGTATGGCAGTATTTTTCATTCTTAAATAATTGATATTGTGGTAGTACAAATACTTCAGTACAGGATTTAATTAGGTCACCTTTTCTTTCTACCAGAATTGTAAAGCTGCATTTGGTGCCTGTATAGATTCGGAATAAACAAAATATTCCCAATTTTTCCTTACAATCTGGGAAAAATAAGTCACAGTTTAGTTTGGGGAAACAGCCTTTTTTTTTACCCTGTGAATTATTTGTAAAGCATAAACTTGTAATTATCACTGTTAACATAGAACTACTTTGATCTTTCTTATTTGCATCGTAAATGTATACAATATTAGCATAATATTTGAGATCATTGTGGTATACTGCAAAGAAAGACTGACAAACTGTTATTTATGGCCTCATTAATCTTAGAATGGACATAAACCATTGTCATACATTTCTTATGATAGAATGCATATGCAGGTTCAAATCCAGGCATATTAACCCTCTGCTTAGAAAGTACACATGTATAACAGGTAACTTATAGTTGAATTATTACTACATTTAATTCAGGTGTTAAATACTTGTAGATATAATATCTCGAAATTCTTTCTAGGTTGACTGATGTACTTTTACGTTTTTGAAAATGCATGACATTGTGATAAAATAAATTTTATCTTATAAAAATATGAATTGACCACATAAAATGTATTTAGTACTCAATTAGGTAGATACTAGATGTAGGGCGTGGACTAAAATACTTAATTAGGTTTATCAAATGTAAAAACTTCTGGAATTTCCTCGAAATAAAACTGTTGATAATGGAATAAACTAGTGATTCAAAGTAAATGGCAATATATGTGTAATATATAACCCAGTAAATTTCTGCTTTTGAGTAAGATCTATAAGAATTATTTTCACTATTCTGCGAAAAACCCGGCAAATTTACACTAATCTTGCTTGCATGAATGTGCATAAATGTATGATGTTTCTCCAGATATAAATCATTTATGTCTTTGTATCACGAACTTACATGTAGATGTAAAATATGAGGTAGATTTAATAAGCCTATGATTGCCTATAGACGTAAATATACTTTACTTTATGTAAATTATTTCTTTATTGTAAGATAATTTTGACAAATTCTGTGAAGTAAATTCATCATATTATAAGTTATGCAATTAATGTTGAAATATGACATATGACATTCGCAAATAAAACATGGAGATTTCATAGTTCTAAACAATGAGATAACAATCAGTGATATCTGAAAACGACTTTTCTCAGAAATACACACTGAAAAATAATCAATACATTTTATTACTTAAATAACGGAAATTCGAAACATTAGCAAAAGTTTGAATAAATGTGCGGCTGTTTTGACAAAAGAAGAAAATGCTGTGACTGGTTATCGCTAGTGGAGAAGAAATGAAGAACAGGTGCCAGATAGACAGGTGAGTGAATATACATAACCTACATATAATATAAGATACGGTTACTTAAAGTTAAGATAAGTCAATAAAGTCATGTACTGAAACACTCTAGTGGTAATAGTTGAAAGTATCCCTGTACTTAAAACGTATTTTCATATTTCATGATTTTGATGTGTTGATTTGCAGAAACTTTTCCAATACCATTAGTTAGAGATGTGATAATTGTAAGGTATTCATGAAGTGAGACGAGTATACAGTACTTGTCTGTAAGAGTATCATATTTATTGTCGTAACTTAAAGAACATATATACAAAACATCTTGGATGAGTTTGAGTTTCAGAATGGTAGGGTCAAGGTAACAATTACAATTTTCAGAAAATCCTTGTAAGTGCTTCATTCGTTGAGGAATTTATATCAAACTTCAAACACCTGGCCATCTTTTATTGTTCATCAGTCAAGGTTGAATGTGAAGAGTTTTTCTTCGGTATGCAGTGCCAATGATGATATTGTATATAATGTGATTTGAGAATGTGAATTGTGAAATAAATGTGAAGGAAATAATAGCCATCATTCAAGATATCTGATGGAAATACAACCATTGTCATGGAAACCAATTAGAGAAATGGCAAATTGTTATATGTGTGTATATGAAATCATGTGAGAGGCTAATGGTACAGTGTAATATAAGGGTTTACATGAAGTCTGAGGCAAATGACAAAGTTTACATATTAGGTCAATGAAGTAGTCCTACACAGCAAACAGATGTATATAGTTGTTAAAATGGTTCAAGCAGCATATATAATTGTAGCCATTTAATAGCCAAACAGAAATGGCCGGTAATGTGTGTTATATGTTACATCAGTATAAAAATGAGTGTTACAGCGTGATCCTCCGGAGGGATTGTACTATAAATCAGAACCTAACAGTATAGTACAATGAGCTATGTTATGTTGTTGTTGATAAAAAATGTCTACTCATATGTGTCCATTCTGAAAGTCAGAAAAACTCACAGGGAGCCAAAAGTTTTGTAAACTAACTAATGAGGATTTAAACCTGCATCCAGAGAAAGATTTGCAAGAAGTTATTTGTAAAAAAAATTATCATCTATATTACGGGAAGTCTGTTACAGGTCATTTCTTGAATTTCATTCTTTTTCTGAGTGATATGGTGCAGCATTTTTATGTGAAGGTAGATTAAAGTGCAGGATTTATTGCTCTTAACTGACAGTAATAGAGATTTAACTTGAATATGCCATAAGTAACGTCATTGCATTTGGTTTTTGTAAAATCTACGAAAAACGGAATTAAAATCACTTACTGTATTTTTTTTTGCTCGAAGAGCTCATGCTTTTGCACCGAAGGCAAACAAAACGGCCATTTATTGTGTTCACCAGGAATGATATTCTGAATAAGTAGTGTGGTATGTTATTCACCTTGAGACATAACTGAAAAAACCTTTCATGTTTCTGGCAAGATTATAGTAAAAGTATGAAGTATATTGTTTGAAGGAAAAAGTTTGTCTTAATTGTCATTTAACCATAGTAAGGACCCAGATACTATGTTAATATGTTAGTTCCTAAAGGTATGCTGATGTCTGTTCATCCTCTTGTCAACATACTGTGTTTATAAGTTAGTTCCTAAAGGGCCTGTATGCTGATGTCTGTTCATCCTCTTGTCAACGATACTGTGTTTATAAGTTAGCTCCTAAAGGGCCTGTATGCTGATGTCTGTTCATCCTCTTGTCAACGATACTGTGTTTATAAGTTAGTTCCTAAAGGGCCTGTATGCTGATGTCTGTTCATCCTCTTGTCAACGATATTGATACAGTTGTTGTTTACTGAATATAAAAAATGCAAAAATGAAATAAAAAAGTGTAATTACACTACAGTCCTGTATTGTAACAAACACTTTCTCACTGATAAACAACACACAACAACAGTGGTCCCACAATCCCTCTACAGTCCTGTATTATAACAAACACTTTCTCACTGAGAAACAACACACAACAACAGTGGTCCCACAATCCCTCTACAGTCCTGTATTATAACAAACACTTTCTCACTGAGAAACAACACACAACAACAGTGGTCCCACAATCCCTCTACAGTCCTGTATTGTAACACTTTCTCACTGATAAACAACACACAACAACAGGCGTCCCACAATCCCTCTACAGTCCTGTATTGTAACAAACACTTTCTCACTGACATACAACACACAACAACAGTGGTCCCACAATCCCTCTACAGTCCTGTATTGTAACAAACTCTTTCTCACTGATAAACAACACACAACAACAGTGGTCCCACAATCCCTCTACAGTCCTGTATTGTAACAAACACTTTCTCACTGATAAACAACACACAACAACAGTGGTCACACAATCCCACTACAGTCCTGTATTATAACAAACACTTTCTCACTGAGAAACAACACACAACAACAGTGGTCCCACAATCCCTCTACAGTCCTGTATTGTAACACTTTCTCACTGATAAACAACACACAACAACAGGCGTCCCACAATCCCTCTACAGTCCTGTATTGTAACAAACACTTTCTCACTGACATACAACACACAACAACAGTGGTCCCACAATCCCTCTACAGTCCTGTATTGTAACAAACTCTTTCTCACTGATAAACAACACACAACAACAGTGGTCCCACAATCCCTCTACATTCCTGTATTGTAACAAACACTTTCTCACTGA